CTTAAATTGAAAGAAAGAAATACTTCAAATATTTCAAACATAGCAGGATTAAAAATCCCAACTGAAGGGAGGCAGACCAGTTGGCTATTTACAAGCAAGACCGAGCAGTTGAACTAGGGTCTACCGAGAAACAACTCCAGCTTAGTGGTCAGAGTAGGACTTGAACCCGCTACCTCCAGATTTCAAGTCCAGTGCCCTAACTACTTGGCCACGCCGCCTCCCTTGCACACAGTGTAAACAATGTTCAGGACTTTAGTAACAGGTCAGCCATTGCACTTTCCTTAGCTTGGTAACAAATGAGTTTATCCACATGTATTTCTTTAGGTTCCAGTAAGGGTTATACATTAAACAATTAATAAGTTAGTGTTAGCGTTTTTTTGGGTATTGCCTCTGCAAGAATTTTCATTTAAAAATGTTAATACAACATATTATTCAACTATCATGCCATTTTACCATATTGCATGCAGGTCAGGAAAACAAGCAGAAAATGAACCTGTTAATTGCACTGTACATAAGAGTCATATTTAGTTTTTATCTTTAATTTGTATAAATGGTATGCAATCAGTATGATTTTCTAATGATGCAGGATGTATTACTAGAAAGTAGGATAACGGTGGAATAATGAAGCGCTTATTCGATGATGCATTATTGGACATTTTGCTCATTCAGAACTCGCAAAGTATCCATGTGTATTCACTTGTCTGACAGTATATGTTGAACCATCAAATAAGATGTATTATACACAAATGATACCAAGTCAAAATGGTAAATTATTAATAACATATTTAAACTAAACATAACTAATAATTTACAGTTCCAAGTGACTGAACTTTAAATTACCTGCATAGCTTCTGATGCTGTCTCTATTGCAAGAGTTTCACCAATGAACTGCTCACAAATCTGTCATGTAATGAAATAAAATTACGAAATCAATAAAACATGAGATAACTTATTCACTTTAAAGGACATTGACCTCTCTTATTGCACCCTGATTACTGGAGCTGCAACTAGGACTGATGCCTTAATCTTCAATTTTTACTGAAGGCACAGCTAAAAGGTTAATGTGCCAGGTTTGAGTGTATTATATTAAATAAAATGAACAATATATGCTGTGCACTCAAGACAGTTCAGAACTTGTATTTTAAAAAACTGTTCATGTATCTAGATACATGTACTCTCATCTGATGATGACATGATCAAGGCCTCAACATGTACATGTATGCACCTTTTGTAGTTGCTCTAAATTGTACTCCATGGCTGAGCCCATGACTTCCATCACCTTAAAAAAAATATAATTTATTTAATGTAAGTA